AGGACGTGGCGGATCTCGGCGCCCATGACGGTGCCGTTGCCCTCCTTGTCGAAGACCCGCAGCCCCTCCACGTAGTCCTCGAAGCAGCCCTGGTCCTTGTTCTTGGCGATGGTCTGCATCATGGGCAGGAACTGCTCGAAGTTCAGCGTCTTCAGGGCCATCTCTGGGGGCGCAGGAGGGTGAGGACGGGCCGGGCGCTGCCTCCCAGCCCGGCCGGGGCTCCCGGCGCCCCTCGGCGCTCACCATCGCTCTTGGGGTTGCCCAGCACCTTCATGACCTCGGCGTTGGTGGGGTTCTGGCCCAGCGCCCGCATCACGTCCCCGCACTGGCTGTAGAGGATCTTGCCATCGCCTGTGCGGTCGAAGAGCTGGAACGCCTCCTTGAACTCTGCGGGACCGCGGCGTGAGCGGGGCGCTGCGCCCCACGGCACCCTGCACCCCATGGCACCCTGCGCCCCACGGGGACACTGCACCCCACGGGGACACTGCACCAAACAGGACCCTGTTCACCAAGCCCCTCAGGGACACTGCACCCCACTGCACTGAGACCCCCTCCTACCCTGTGCTCCATGGGGACACTGCACCCCATGGGACCCTGTGCACAGACCCCCACAGGGATCATTGCACCCAGCGCAACGAGGAACCCCCCCACACACACACACTGTGCTCCATGGGGACACTGCACCCTGCGCACCCAGCCCCTCGTCGATGCTGCACCCACTGCACTGTGGACCCCCCCCATGGGACTGCAGCACTGCGCGCCATGGGGAATGCTGCACCCACTGCACCTTATAGGACCCTGCACCCCATGGGACCCCCTGCATGGGGATTCTGCACCCCACTGCACCGTGCGCAGCAAGGGACCACCCCCCTACACTGCGCTCCATGGGGACACTGCACCCATGGGACCCTGCACACCAAGCCCCACATGGACGCTGCACCCACTGGACTATGCACCCCATGGAACTTTGCACCCCACAGCCCCTTGCACTGCACCCCATGGGGGATGCTGCACCCACTGCACCTTATAGGACCCAGCACCCCATGGGACGCCCATGGGGACGCTGCACCTTTGCCCCACGAGATCCCACGCACTGCAGCCCAAGGGGACACCGTGCACCCTATAGCGCCTTGCACCCTGCGCCCCATAGGGCCCTGCACCCATGGGACCCCCCTTGCTCAGTGCT